GGACGTGGGGGCCAGGGCCTGCAGGCTGCGCTGGGCTCGGTGGCTCCTGGCCAAGGCCCGCTCCCAGCAGACCCTGTGACTGAAGCCTAGGCCCCGGGAGAGGTCACGGGCCCAGCACTGAGCCTGGGGGCAGCCTGGGATGGCCACAGCCTGCCCCTCCCTCACACCCCCGGGTGGCTGTGGCTTGCCTCTCTGTCATACCCCTGGGTGGTCATGGTCTGCCCCTCCGTCACACCCCTGGGTGGCCGTGGCCTGCCCCTCCCTCACACCCCTCCATGTGGCCACAGCCTGCACCTCCCTCACATCCCCCAGGAAGCCGTGGCCTGCCCCTCCCTCACACCCCTGGGTGGCTATGGCCTGCCTCTCCCTCCCCTCCCCATGTGGCCGTGACCCTCCCCTTCCTCACACCCTGGGGCGGCTGTGGCCTGCCGCTCCCTCACAGCCCAGGTGGTCATGCATTCACCGTGCATTCTCATACACCCCATGGGCCACGGCCTGCCTTCTCCTAACCCTGGGCAGGACCCCTCCCTCCCTCCAGCTTTGCCCCTATAAGACCGGGGGCGCGGGGCTATCGGCACAGAGACGCCCTTCCTAAGAGCCACCAGGCCAGCTGTTACCAAGTGGTGGTGTCCCTGAGCCAAGGTGAGTCTGAGGTTGGCACAGCTGGGCCTCCTGCCCAGGAAAGCCCGGCTCCGGCCTCCCTGTCCCTCTGGTGGAGCCACGTGGGGAGTGGGGGTTGCCAATATGGGTTCCCTCTGGCCTCCACACTGGCTTCCTGGAAGGGAAGCTGGGTGTCCTCTGATGTGGTTGGAGAGCCAGGGCCTGCCCTGAGCCCTGGTCCTCACAGCAGGCCCAGTGAGGCCCAGCAACTGGCCCGAGGTCACACAGCCAGTGGGCTGGACAGCCAGGAGCTGAGGTCACCTCTGGGGGAGGTCAGGGCCTGGGCTGGGTGTGGCCACGGCCTCCAGGTCTCCGAATACCACAATCTCCTGTGGCTTGGAGTAAAGGGGGTCCCGGGGCCACCGCGAGGCGCCGTCCTCACCCTTCTGCCGGGGCCAGGCACCTGTGCCCTTGCACGTGACGACCTGCCTGGGTGCCCCACGGAGGCAGGACAGGTCAGGGCCGCCACGGTGGGCTCGGCCCAGCGGCCACCAGCAGAGGGCACCACCCTGCCAACCACTGCGGCCTGGGAGGCACCGCCCCCTCCTCTGGGCCCCAAGAGGAGTGAGGGTGTCAGGGCCATGCTGGCCAAGGAAGCTAAGCTGCAGACGCTCAGCCTGTTCTGAGTCGACCCCGAGCGCGCCCACCCTGAGCTGCTACATCCAGCCCAGGCTCACTGGCCAGGGTCGAGGGCCAAGGGCCAGTAGCCCTCCCACAGCCCACGCGGCCCACCTCCTGCCCTGTCATTCCCTGACCCGGTACGGCCAGGCTGCAGGAGTAGAGATGCAGAGCCAGGCCTCAGGAAGCCTGTGGCGAGAGCTACCATCCAACGCAGGTGCCTTTGACTGGAGGTGAGGAGGATGGGGGCTCAGAGGGGCCAGTCCAGCCTGGCTGGGGTGTCAGGAGGGCTGCCCTGGAGGTCGGGGTGCTTAGTGAGGCCTGGCTTCAGGCAGAGTGCTGTTTGTTAATGGCTGTGCCCACAGGTCTCTGCCAAGGAAGAGGCTGGGTCTGGTGTGGTGCCCCGCCCCCCATCGCCAGGGGACATTGGGTGACCCTGCCCAGGTCAGCCTATAGTCTGAAGCCCTGGGCCAACCCTGATGGCCAGGCCCCAGGAGTGGCAGCTGGCAGCCCCAACTAC